TCAGTCACCAAGTTCTTGCTAATTTCCTGGGCCAAGTGGTTTAGAGATCTACTGATTGTCCCCTCAGCTAGGGTGCCAGAGCCTTGCCCAGGTCTTCAAGGACTCACCCAGGTACTGAACAGAGCAGGCTCCTTTCAGAGGCAGAGCTCGGCTGCCAGCAGTCACAACCTGGTGTTTCTGGCCCCACCTCAGGCAGAAATCACTTGGTTTAGAGGTTCAGAAGCATCAGCTCAGGCAAAGGGAGGAAGAACTCTGGGCCCCAGTGGCCTCAAACACACCTTGTCTTCACCAGCCCAACCTCTGCGGTAGCGAAGCTGCATCCATGCCCAGGGGCCTCCCAAGCAGTGGGCAGAGGAGTAGCAGAAACCCCGCTGTAGGAGGGGGGCCCAGATCCTTCCCTCCTCTCTCTGCAGGGTGTCTGTTCTGCAAGGGCCAGCAGGGGGCAGTGCTTCGCCCTAAAGATGGAATAAGAGTGCCTTTCATTTGTAAATTTCTTAGGGAGTGTAATTTAGCCTGGTGATCCCTCCCTGGTCCGGTGGGAGGCCTTTCTCTAAGACTGCAGCCCAGGGAGGCCTTTCTGGGGGCTCATTTAAAAAGTACCAGAAAGGATCAGCTGTCCTGCTGACAAGGGTCCAGCGAGTTGCTGGCATCTGACCAGCTCTCCCTCTTTCCTGCCATTCTGCTGCTTTTGCCCCCAAAGGGTTGCCCCTCACTGTGCCTAACCCTACTGGACTTCTTTGCAAGGAGATGGGTTAGAAGGGGATGCACTGAAAGGCCCTGCCCCCAAGGTTCTGGGCAGTGTGGCCAGTATGGACCTGGTCCTGACCACGGCCCTGCCACCTTGGCACAGCTGGGCGCTTCTCTGGGCTCCTGTTCCCTCTGGTAGGCAGGGGACCACATCTCATCTTCTCTACCATTACATGTATAGAGCTTAGCACATTTTGGGGGCACATACTAAGTGTCAAAGATTATTGTTTTAATGATTATATATCTTACAGGTAACATATAATGGCAAATAGGTGTCAGTGAGTGAGTTTCTTTCCCCCCCAGTAAACGGTGATTGTTTACAGATGGTTGGCCAGCCTGGGAGTGGAAGCCATGTGAGCACAGCCAGGCGGGACGGCAGAGCCGTAGGCACAAGGCCGCCATTTGTCCAGCCCTAGATTCCCCCAGGAGGTCTGAGTGTGGGCACTCCAGGTTGCTGGGCAAGTCACTGCCTCTCTAGATTCTATATGGATCATCTATTTGCCTGTTATTTATATTTCTATTTATAGGTAAAAATCCGAGGCTCGTGTGTCCCTCCATGCCCAGGCCTCCTCCCCTGTCCCTCCCTCCAGCCCTGGGAATTCTCTGCCAGACTCCACCCATCCCGTACGTGGACTCGCTCTCTCACTATTCCAGATCTGTTATTTACCTGGTGTGGGTTAGAGGGGTGCAGAGAGGGAGGGAAGAGGGAGAGGAAAGTGAAAGAAATCTTGCAGAGTTCATTCAGCCACTAACAACATACCTGTGAAACAACACCGCTGCGTCAGTGTGGCCACAGCAGTGGCTCGGCAGACGGGCCTGGCCAGGCGCCCCAGGCCTGCAGGTCTGTGGGTCGCACACCAGCTCCCCTAGTGCTTCTGCTAAGGTGACCCTGTGGTTCAGGAAAGCAAAGCGTCGGCCCCGCCCGGGAGTGAGTCCGAAGGTATCAGCGGGCGCTTCCTCCCTTTGTCTGCTCCTTGCTTGTCCTGGGAGTGGGGCTCTTGCTTCCTGCTTCGGCCAAAGGGACCCTGAGGCCCCCTGGCCTCTTGCCCATTCTGAGAAGACCCTGCTCACCTCTGTCACTGAAGTCTTTGTATCCCCCTGTGGGGGGCTGGAAGGACTAACCAGGAAGGGGGCCTGTATTATCCTAAAGAAAGTGGTAAACTGAGGCAAGCTTGAGTTTATGCGGGAATAGCAGGAATGACCATGGGAGACACGCTATACAAGCTCCAGGTGAGTCCGTTGAGGGCTTAGGGCACTGTATTCATGGGCCAGGAGCGCAGAGGGGCACGTCCAGCCGGGGTCCAAGCAGTAAGTTCACTGGTTCGAGGAGGGGAGGGTTCTTGGTGATGTTCACTGTTGAGGAGCTGAGCCTCGGCCCCTCTAACCCAGGCATTTATGGGAAATCGGTCTTAGTTAAGTTACGTTTTTCTGAGGGCGCAGGCGTGAGAGGCTCCATTTCCTGCCTTCTGGCTCCACGTTAGATTGAAAGCCTCTCACACCCGACACAGAGACCCAAACGACCCGTTGCCAGTGGCTCTGCTGCCTGGCAGTGTCTCCATTCCGGGAACTTCAGGAGCAATAAAAGGGTTTCTCTTATAGGACATTGCCCTGGAAGTCTTTTTCCGAAACGGATGCTCCAAGTTTTTTGTCTTCCACAACAGCGATCGGAGTAAGGTCTTCAAAAGGTAAGGGTTTGAAGTGTCCTCTGAGCAAACTGATCAAGGGCTGGGAGCAGACAGACTGCTCAGCTCTGTTCTCAGAACTGTTCTCGACCCACGGCGGGGAGAATTCAGGTTAGACACGAGGAGGAACTTACTGACCCACACAGCTGCTGAATTATGGGAAAGTATAGAGAGCGCAATGGGATTGCCTTTTCTAAGTCCCGGGAAACGTTCCATCTCATGGCCTGAAGGAGTTTGGGACAGTAATGACTATAGGGAAAAAACGGTGCAGACACCACATATTTAAGAGACTGGCTGTTGAGCAGGCCTTCCAGAATTTTCTGGCTTTATTTTCTAATTATCCAATAATTCTTTTTGGCTTATTCTTTCTTTTTGATCCCAGTTGCCAATTTTAGTTGTTCTAATTTTATATTTCATTGGAAAGAATTCCAAACACTGATTTTCCACGTCTGCGCGAACATCTTTTTTCTTAAAGAGAGAAGCCTGCTGTTTTAGTTTAACTTCTCTTTCTCCAAACAGATTTATCAACCTAAGAAATGTAAGCTAAGAAAGAGATAAAACAAATATTTATTTTTATTACTATTAAAGTTGCAGATAAATAGATAGAGATTTGTGGAGAATCTGGAAGGGACAGAAGGGAAGGTAGGTTCCCAGCACAGACCACTCAGGAGCTGGAGTGGCCGGGGGGCCCATGTTTGGCTCCACTCTGGCTGGAAGTTATGAGGTGAGATTTGACATCCTGACCTGAAGATCCAGGCCACTTGTGCTCGGAGGCTCTAGCCTCGCCCTCCTGTTGGCCCTGGCGCGTCACTGGCACCGGAGCAGCTGCCGCCTCCACAGGGCCGGGCAAGTGGGGGAAAACAGCCCCTGCAGAGAGGCCGTCGCGCCAGCCCTGGGCGCGCCTCCAGTAGCTCTGCGCCTCCCTTTGAGGTTCTCCCAAGGGCGCTGCTGTGCTGCCTCCTAAAATTTCTTTCAAGCTCCATTTGAGACCAAACCAGAGAAGTAGGCGTGGGATGCTGACCCTCATGCTTGTTTCCCCTCGTGATTTCTGGGCGTTAAAGTTTTCACAGTTAATCTAGGAGTCGCGTGTCTTTTGCTTGGGTGTGAATGTAACCCAACCGCCCCCGGCCCGCTCAGGAGCCTGAAATTAGGATGGCGCTTGTCCCCAGTGAAGCTGGCAGTGGCAATGGCAAGTGCCTGGCCCAGAGGAGGGATCTAAAACACGTATTTCTTATTGCAACTTGTTTTATTGTTATGATTGTTGTTCTCAAGGCTGAGGGCTGCTTCCGAGGTGCACCCTGGTCCACTGTTCACGGACCAGGGCAGGACTGGTGAGGGTCAGGCACCCATCTCCTGCCTGCCTCTGAAAATGTCTCCCTGGTGCTGGAGGGGGTCCTGCCTCTGCTGATAAAATGAACCTTGCCTTTTTCGTTTAGCCTCTGCGCTTTCCAGCCCAGCTTGAAGGGGAAGGGCGCCACGGAGGAGCCCCTCAGCCTAAGGTAAGGATGCGGGCAGAGCCAGCCAGGCTCTCCGGGCACTGGCCTTGCTTCCATCTTAGGGCCTAATCCCACTGCAGTGGTGTCATGCACAGAGTGGCCAGCGTGTCCCCTTATTATTCTCTCTCCCCCCACCCCCTGGAAGTTCCTTCTGCCAACCAAACCTCTACCAACAGCCTGGATGACCCACACGGGCTCTGTGGCTTTTTCAGACCAAAATGGCAGGAAGCAGGCCTCTGCCGTGGTGGGCGGGTCAGGTTGACAGAAGTGCCAGCCCAGGCCCAGCCTTGGCCTCGGGCCCTCAGGCTCAGGTGGGTGAGCAAGCCTGGGCCTGTCCTCCTGTAGGACACTCTCAGAAAGCTCAGGAGCCACATCAGTGGGGGATGGAGCCAGGTTTAGTCTAGGAATCTGAGGCAGGGCTCCTCTTTCCCTGCCGTGTGATGCTTACAGCCCCTGCCAGGCGCCGCCACAGGCCCCCAGCGCCCCAGAAGGCCGGGCAATCAGTGGGGCTTGTTTCAGCTGGGGAGGCGGTGGAGGAGGCGATGGATGGAGGAGGCGGTGGATGGAGGAGGCGGTGGATGGAGGAGGCGATGGACGGAGGAGGCGGTGGACGGAGGAGGCGGTGGATGGAGGAGGCGGTGGCGGTTGTCCCCAGGAACGTGGGCGGGGTGGTAGGGGCGTCCCCCGGAGCGGCACTCAAAATGCCTGTACTGACTATGGGATGGACCACCAAGTCATTCAGAATCACTTATCGATGGTTAATTATCTATCGGTTTTGTTGTGTGTGGTGTTTGCTGCTTGACAGAGCAACACGCAAAATACTCAGACTCTTCCCTGTCTTTATGTTCTCCTGAGGAAAATAGAAAACAAATGAGAGAAATACAAAGCATAGTAGATAATATGTATAAGTATAAAATACAAAGTAGGTAGACGTGGCGATTGAAATCTTCGACGGGGTGATAAGGGAAGGCTTCACCAAGAAGCAGTATTTGAATTAAGACGTGAACAAAGTGGAGAAACAAGTTGTGCAGAAACAGAAAGAGCACTTCAGGCCAAGGGCAGAGCAAAGCAGGGGCAGCGAGGGCCTTGGCTGGGGCCAGGGTGGCTGGCGGCAGGGGCTCAGTGGGAGGAGAGGTCAGGGAGCTAATGGGGCCAGTTCAAGGAAGCCTCGGGGCTCACAGTGACGGTGCTGGCTCTTCCTCTGAATAATGGGGCGTATTAGGGGGATGGTGTGACTAACGAATTTTAAAAGACTCACCTGGCTGCTGTGTGGTGAACAGACCACAGTGGGATAAAGGCAGAGCTGGGAGGCCAGTTAGGAGTGACCTGGGTTAGGGATGATGATGGCTTGGAACCAGGAGGTGACCGTGAAGACGGTGCGGTGCTTAGATTCTGGACATGTTTTGAAGGTACCTCTGATGGCATCTGTTGACAAATCAAGTGTGGAGTATGTGCCTGTGAGAGAGGACTTACGGATAAGACCAAAGATCTAGGTGGGAGCAACTGGAGAATGACATGGGGAGAGTACAGAACTGTGTGGGTGTGGTGATGACTGGGGCTCAGTTTGGGGCACATCAGCTCTGAGACGCCTGCCAGGCATCCAGGCGCAAAGTCATGCTGGCCGTTTGGAGTTCACAGAGAGGTCCAGGTGAGGGTGAGTCTGGAAGAGGCTTTAAAGCATGAGGCTGGATAGATCGCCACAGGAATGAGTTCACATGGACAAGGAGCGGAAGAGACTGAAAGCTGCAGCCAGAAAGGCGGGCACTGCAGCTGTGGAAGACGTCCCGAGAGCCAGCTGTGCCTCAGGGAGGGTGTGGCCGCTGTGCTGCCCCGTGCTGCTGGTGGGCCAAGTAAGACTAGAACTCAGAAGTGACCGCTGACCTTTGCTACATGCGGGTCATTGATGACCTTCAAAGGACCCGTCTGAGTGGCTGCCACAGGAGCTCCCGGTAGTCTCAGGCACTCACCCTTTACTTGGTAGCTCGTAGGGCATCCAGGACATAGCGGGCAGTGGTCTAGGAGGCCTGGGTAGCTGGGGCTCTGGAGGTAGAGTAGCTGCTTACCAACTGGACTGGATGTATTTCGACAGTTCCACACTAGTAGAACCCTAGTTGTACATGTAAGTTGAATATTAGCCCTGGTGATCTCATATCACACATATGTTTCATATGAGCCTTACTCTCCACTTGGGTTTCTCTGTAGCATTTCAGTGTAAGCGGGAAAAGGCCATTTCAAACTAACTGAAGAAAAAAGATTCATCAACTCACATACCTGAGGCCAAAAATGGCCTGGCTCCAGGCAAGCTAGATCTCTGGGCTCAACAAGGCCTCAGGACACTGTGGCTCTCCATCTCACAGTGAGAATTCCCTGGGTCGGCTCCGTTCTCAGCAGACTCTCAGCATAAGGGCATCAGTGCCCTCAACAGCTCCAGGCTGATAGTCAATCCCGTAGGAATTCTGCCACACAAGGAATGCCCTGTCCCAGTGATTTTAGCAAAAATCCCCCAAAGTGGTTTTCATCTGCCCAGGGGAGGTTAGTGCCCATCCCAGAACCAATCACGTGCTTTCATAGGCCAGGTCAGGGTCATGTGCCCACCCACCTTCTGGGAGTGGAGTCAGTGCCACCCAGCGACGTAGACCATGCTGAGGGGAAAATACACATCCACAGAAATATTCGGCCTCCAGCTGCCCCAGGCAGAGCTCCCCCAGAACCACAGCACTCATGGGCTGCATGTCCACCTTCTAACTCCTGGAACTTCTCTCTTCTTGCATGAACTTTGGCACAGGTCACTTCACTAACCCTCTGTCTCAGCAGATCACCCTCTTATAAATGTATTATGGGTGTAACATCACTCAGTGACTGTATAGCTGCCCCTACAACTGGGAGCGGTACCCTGTCCATTCCTATTCTGTTGTTCTCAGAGTCTGAGAGGTGCTTTGTCCCAACAATGCACACCTTTATCACACAGGTAAGGGTCTAGATTCCTGTCCCAGATAGAGAGGGAGTAGATAGAGGAGCTAAACTGTGGCTATGGCCACTACTTTGGTTGTCCATACAAAAATGACTGCCAAGTACAAGAGATAATCTTGCCCTGTGGATGAGTCAAATTTGCAGAAACTACTTCTCACTCATCCACGGAGATAACCCTAGACACCCTCCTGTATGCCACCTTGCACCTGGGGGACAGCTGGTCACTGTGTCGATTGCATTTCCATTATGTTAATTTTCCCCATCATGTCCCTCTGAGGCCACTGGAGCAGACTGTTCCATGGCCATTCTAGGCTTGCCTGGCATCGCCCCAACACAGCTCCAGGCCGGAGACCCTTGGAAAATATAAAATAGCAAGCTGCTGGGGTCAGCCGGGAAAGTGCACAGTGCCCCAAGAAATGCTTGCAGAGCTAATGGAAGGGGAGCTTTGACAACAGAGGAAGCCCCAGCCAGACCATTGGTCCTAGGCTCTGCGGCCACGCAGGCGGCCCGGGCGTGCAGCAAGGCTGTGCTCAATAGCCAGCACGGCCTTTGGCATCAGACCAATTTGAGCTCATACTAGGTGCTCAATAAATTGTAATTCCTTTGCTTAGTTTTGATATCACCTGCTATATATTTTGGGTATGTTTATGAAACAATTGATTAAAAGCAGGTGGCGTCTGTGCTGTCAGCTCTTTTACGCCTCTCCTTCCCAGTGCTTCTCTCACAGCCACAGTGTGCCTTCAGAATTTCCCGGGTGTAGCTCCCAGCCTTAGCAGGGCTTGGCAGGCCATTGCTCCATGCCATTTTTTAAAATTTGGATTACCAAGGATAATGCCAAACACACACAATTAGTCTTAAAAAATGCCTAGCTGTACTTTAGATACTCCAATGACCACAAGCTTCTTTTGCTGAAGAAGGTGTGTGGTCTATTCCGAGAGTTTTCAGCTGGCTCAGGATGCTTGGCCTGTGCTACAGGTTTTCTAGTCTCCAGCCCCCAGCTCTTGGTGACTGGTATAGCCCATCTGGAGGCCATCCCCACACACAGAAAACCAGAGCTTTTGAGGACCAGGGTTTTGCCTAGAATTCCAGTGACAATGGCTGCCTCCCGAGCTGAATTCCAAGGAATTGCTGTGCCTGGATGAACCTAAGACCTGTAATCCACTTGTGTCTCCCATGGTACAAGACTAGACCGTTCTGAAGGCAGCGGGGTGGCATAATCAGACATGGGTGGGGTGCTAGGCTCTGTAACCTATGGGGCCTTCTAACATAAACCCAGTGACAGATAACCAGAAACTGAGGGTCTTTTAAACTCCCCCTGAAAAATACTTTCTCTTGGCACCGAATACCAAATTTGCCCTTGTCTAAGGGTAGTGGATACCAAAATCAATTCCGTTTTCAGGAGATTTGAAGACAAGGCCCTGCAGAATATAATCTATACTGTTTCTCTGAAAAGCAGGGAGGGCCTGACATGTGGCCTTATTTCTGGGCAGACACTTCTCTGGGATGCTAGCACCATCTGGCTCAACTATCTGCTCCCCAGGCACCTCAGTTCATGTTGAGCCCCGAGTTTAGAAAACTCACACGGTTCGGATGCCCGCATGGCTATTGCTCTCCCACACAGCGCGTGTCAAGTGCGCTGAAGGGACCCATCCACAGCGTGCTCTCTGACAAGGTGACATGCTCACTGACGTGTCATCAGGTCCAAGGTGGTCCCTGGACTAGAGGACACCGTTGGGTGTGAGTCAGTGGTTATATTTGGGCCCCGACTGTGTCGGAGGGTTTGTAATCTCTGGACTGTTCTCTCAGTTGTACGGCTTATTTAATAATGTTTAGAATGAAATACATTTTTTGGCACAAAGTTATATAGTTGAGTGTTGTCAGAATTTCCTTTATGGATTACCTTTGAAAAATAATGGAAGACAGAGAACTTAGAAAACAAACCATAACAAGCTATAAATACCTATAAGATGATGATCTTCCAAGATTGTTAGTGACACCCCAGAGCTGGCAGCATGGAGGCCATAATCCAAGTTCTTTTTTTTTTTTTTCTTCTAAAAATGTCTTTATTGATTTCAGAGAGAGGAAGGGAGAGGGAGAGAGATAGAAACATCAATGATGAGAGTCATTGATCGGCTGCCTCCTGCACGCCCCCTGCTGGGGATCGAGCCCACAACCCGGGCATGTGCCCTGACGGGGCATCAAACCGCGATCTCCTGGATCCTAGGTCAATGCTCAACCGCTGAGCCACGCCGGCCGGGCTCCCCCTTTTGTTCTCAGCCCTGCTGTGTAGGGTCAGCCCTGCTGGGCACCGTGCGGCCGAGCCCGCGGACGCGCACGACGCCGGGGAGGAGCGCTGCAGCCCGTCGCTGAGCCAGGCCGCGCTCCGGCTCTGGGCCCGCGGCCCTGGGAGGGCAGACAGGCACCGGTTCAAGGTCCCCTCACCCACCTGCCACCTGTGCCCAGCCACCCCCAGAAAACCTGGGGCGTGGATAAAGATGCCAGGCATTTTCTTTCATTTTAGCATCTCTCAGGAATCTTTAAGGACACAACCGACAGTGGATAATTTGGGTAGTTCTGGAAACTGAGGCATTTACCCTGAAATGCTTCACTCTTCAGCTGCTCTTGAGGAGCTTTCAGCTTCCCTGTGGTCACTCACAAACTAGCCCTTGACACATGTCCAGAGATCTGTTTATTGCTGCACTTAGGTTGCAAGAGTGTTTCTAATTTTTTTATTTTAAATTAACTACAGAGCCACAGAAAGTTGCAAAAATAATACATAGATTCCCCATGCAGTCTCCATTTCACTTCCCCCAACTGTTGCATTTCATGCAGCTACAATTTCAGAAGCAGGACATTGACATCAGTGCGATGCGTGTGCACAGTGATTTATCATTTTCTCGTGTGTGCGGCTGGGTGCAGCCACCACCAGCGCGGCATACACAAGTGTTTATCTCCGCAGATACATCTCTTCTGCTACCACCCTGCGGTCGTGCCCACCCTCTGCCAGCCCTTGCCAGCCTGAAAGCCTGGCAAGCACTGGTTGGCTTCTACAACTCTGTCATTTAGAGGATGTTCTCCAGATGGAGTCAGAGTACGTGACTTTTGGAGCTTGACCTTTTTCACTGATAATCTCACGGGCCCGTCCGAGCTGCCGCCTGTGGCAGTAACGTTCCCTCTGCGCTGCTGGGCAGTGGCCCGTGTGCAGATGTACAGTCGTTTGTTTAGCCTTTTGCCTGTTCAGGGAGGTGTGGCTGTTTCTGGTTTGGAGCCGGCACAAATGAAGACTGTGCACCGTTCGGACAGAGCCTTATTCTTTCCCGTTGTCCATGTCTCTGTTTTCTTTCTCCTTCCTACCTGGGCATCACTAAAAGCCTTGTTAAAATTCTACTTCGATTTATCTAAAGTATCTTTAGTGTATTTCTCTGTCTGAACTGTTTTGAGCACAGGTCAGTTGCTCGAGCCGTTGCATTGTACGTGCGCACTTACCACGGGCAACTGGTGCCGAGGTTCCGCCGTCCGAGCGAAGGGTACAGGCTGTGGCTCTTTTAAGTCTTAAAGTCGTCTTTTACATCTTTAATTGTCTACAATTTATAGCTGTTATTTTCTTAAGTATCTCCTCTATATACATAAAAAACATCAACTAGTTCCCACAGTCATTTTCACACACAAACGATCTAAAGCAAAACGAGGCAAAGTGCATTTAAGAAGCGCGTCAGTGGCTGGGCCAGCACCGGCGAGCCTGGCGTCCAGGATGTCCCCTGCCACTCACTTTCTTCTCCTAACTGAGGCTGTTCTTCTTCAGAGCTGAGTATTCTTGTTCGCTGATCAGTCTTCAGGTTTTCCCCTTAAGCTACTCTGGGAAGATGCTGGGGCTGTCCTGGGGGTGGAGACAGAGGCCAAGGCAGTTATTCCAGGTGACAGAGGCAAAACACAGGGCAGAGGTCGCACACGCCTGGCTTTCAGAGAGGGGGGGCCTGGGTTAGTGGAATAGGGCGTTCGTTCTAGTTGAGGGAAGAGAAGCCCCATGGTCTTCCTATCACGTTTTTAGGCTTAATTTCCAGGAACTAAAGACAACTGTACTATTTTAGAGCACAAAGGCACATCAACATCAAACCTTTCCGTTGACAGAAAAAGCAATAAAATGTAGAAAATGTCTCCTAACTGATTTCCATCTCCAGTCTCCACTTCATCCTACCACCAGGCTCTCCTGGCTAGCCAGGTACCTAACGTGCGTGCACCCCATGGCGAGCCAGAGCCCCCGCCCAGCCGTGTCTCCATCCTGGGGAAGCTGCCTGCACTGAAACCCCTTCCTAAGACATGGCTGTGAGATGAAAGCATAATGAACACTAGGGCAAGCCTGGCGAGGAAATGTCTCCTTGCATGCCAGCCACTCGGTGGGCAGCGGATCAAGAGGGGTGCTTGAAGGGTATAGAGAACAAGCGCAGTGGGGGGCTGTGCTGCGATGGAGCGGGG